TATATATATATATATACATATGTGCACACATAAGCAATAGGTTGGACTTATGTCTTTATTCAACCTCAAATACTATGTAACTGAAGCACAATGACTGAGCTCTGACAACAGAATAAACAGGCTGCATGTAGTCTGATCTCACACCAGCGCAGTGCTGCACTCCATGTGTGTCTCCCCGCAGCCTCCTTCTCCTATAATACAATGTGATTGATTTCCTACAGAGACGGTTCACATTGCAGAGTGAGTGTTCACTGAGCTCCTTCCCCCCTCAGCAGGTCCTGAGACTTTTTCTTTTGGTTATAAAGTTGTCTGCAGACATTTTCTTTCTGTGTATTGAATGATTGACTGTTGGTGGCTACGGGTCGTCTCACCATCCTCTCTCCTCTTCCCAGGGGCGCCCCGGTGGACTGCAAGTGGTTCAGTATGCGCCACAGCCCGAACATTGAAATGGAGATTCTCGGCAGCGATGCCTCTCAGCAGAAGGTCATCAATGGGGAGAAGCTGTGGCCCCTGTCCAGCAAGACCATGGTGGAGTTCCACATGACGCAGCACAGCGCGGAGATCAATGACGGCAAGGTGGGTCATGCAGGTGACCGGGGGTCTGTCAGGCCGGTTGATTTTAAATGTCACTTCTTGAATCGCTTCACCATAAACTGATTATTTGGCTATAAGTGGCTTCGGGGAGGCCGGTTCATTCACTGGCTTCGTAGGGGGATGCTTGCGGTGCCGCGGTGAAGTCTCCCTGCTCCGGTTACATTGCCTGTTATGTAAAATAAATGAAACTCCAAAAGTGACGGGAATCGGGTGTAGAGCTGTCACTGCTGGAGTGTCAGTTTTGGGTGGGCTGACCCTTCATCAGGATACGGGTGCAAAAAATATATCAAGCCTTTTTGTAGGGCAGGTAGGAGGGTCTTCCGGGTCGCCAACAATACAAATTCTCAGCAAACCTTTATTTATAAAGCACTAACCTATTCCATAGAGCTGTACGGAGGAGCAGGTCATTTGTCACTCAGTTGTTGTTCAGCCTGGTTGGCACCGATCAGAAAACTGGAAGATTTGGAATAAAACGGAAATCTCAGTGTTTCAAACACACCGGCAATGCGCAAATATCCCGAGCGGATAAAACCAACGGACCGCACAAAGAGGACAGACACTGGAAGACGTGGTTTGGCCTGTCTGCAAACTCCGCTCTCTGGTCTAATGGTAACATGACTCGGAATGGGCCGCAATGATTTACTTTTATTTGATCTTTTCCAGATAACCATCGCCTACTACGGAAAAGGGGCCGACGCTCCTGTGGATAAATCCGGAGTTTACCTCACAGGAATCGGTGAGTTATAAAACTCTGTTCACTAGACAGAAGAAGGCTTATTTCCAGGATGAATGGGATGGATGGATAGGTGGATGAGATGGAATAGATTGGATGAATGGGATGGGTGGATGAATGGGATGGGTGGATGAATGGGATGGGTGGATGAATGGGATGGGTGGATGAATCGGATGAATGGGATGGAATAGGTTGGATGAATGGGATGGATGAATGGGATGGATGAATTAGATGGATGGATGGATAGATGGAATAGGTTGGATGAATCAGATGGGTGGATGAATTGGCTGGGATGGAATAGGTTGGATGGATAGGTGGATGAGATGGAATAGGTTGGATGAATCAGATGGGTGGATGGATGGGATGGAATAGGTTGGATGAATGGGATGGGATGGAATAGGATGGATGAATTAGATGGATGGATGGATAGATGGAATAGGTTGGATGAATCAGATGGGTGGATGAATTGGATGGGATGGATAATTGGGATGGGATGGAATAGGTTGGATGAATGGGATGGATAGATGGATGGAATAGGGAGGATGAATGGGATGGGTGGAAGGCTGGATGGATGAATTGGATGGAATGGGATGAGATTGGATGAAAGTGGATGGAATGGAGGACTGGGATGGATGGATAGATGGAATGGAGGACTGGGATGGATGGATAGATGGAATGGAGGACTGGGATGGATGGATAGATGGAATGGATGACTGGGATGGATGAATTGGATGGGATGGATAGATACTCCCAACCAGTTTAGCAGTTTTGGAAGCAAAATAATTCTGTGACACCTGGTCTTCTTTTTTTTTTTCTTTCTTCTTGACCTTCAATCAATTTCCAGGCGATCATTTAGATATTAGAACTGTAAATATTTGAGGTTGAAAAAGGAAATCCCCCTTTTTTTCTTTTTTGTTATTGATTTTCCACTCCTGAATATGTGATAACGCATCCCGCTGCCTAACCAGTCCGCCTCTGCCTGGATGGTAGAAGGGATTTGCTAGGAGGTGCAGAGGAAAATCCCTTTGACTTTCAGTGAATTGTAGAAAAATCTGAGGGAAGATGCTGTATTTTTTTTTTCCAGCCCCCACTGCCCGGTTCAGGGTCTTTAAGATCCCTTCAAAGATATATGTGTCATGTCATACAGCGCACGCACTCTTCAACATTCTAGCGTGACAGGGACTCCCGGGATATTCCTGGTCAGCTGTGACAGAGCAGTACTGACTGATTGATAGTTCACCGAAGTCTCCGTGGTGGAGATGTAACTGCAGGACATTCTCAGCGAGCCGGGATCAAAGTCGCCTTTTAGATCTATGTTTGTCCCAATGCTTAAATGTACTTATTGCTGACTGACTCTCTACCTCTGCTGGAAGTCTGTTCATCAGCTACTCTTACAGTCAAATAATAATTTCTAAGGTTAGTTTTGAGAGATGATCCTCTATGTAGAAGAAGAGATGATCAATTACAGAGGTTTTGCGACACCTGAGAAGAGCCTCAGCCTTGGAGGTTTTGCGACACCTGAGAAGAGCCTCAGCCTTGGAGGTTTTGCGACACCTGAGAAGAGCCTCAGCCTTGGAGGTTTTGCGACACCTGAGAAGAGCCTCAGCCTTGGAGGTTTTGCGACACCTGAGAAGAGCCTCAGCCTTGGAGGTTTTGCGACACCTGAGAAGAGCCTCAGCCTTGGAGGTTTTGCGACACCTGAGAAGAGCCTCAGCCTTGGAGGTTTTGCGACACCTGAGAAGAGCCTCAGCCTTGGAGGTTTTGCGACACCTGAGAAGAGCCTCAGCCTTGGAGGTTTTGCGACACCTGAGAAGAGCCTCAGCCTTGGAGGTTTTGCGACACCTGAGAAGAGCCTCAGCCTTGGAGGTTTTGCGACACCTGAGAAGAGCCTCAGCCTTGGAGGTTTTGCGACACCTGAGAAGAGCCTCAGCCTTGGAGGTTTTGCGACACCTGAGAAGAGCCTCAGCCTTGGAGGTTTTGCGACACCTGAGAAGAGCCTCAGCCTTGGAGGTTTTGCGACACCTGAGAAGAGCCTCAGCCTTGGAGGTTTTGCGACACCTGAGAAGAGCCTCAGCCTTGGAGGTTTTGCGACACCTGAGAAGAGCCTCAGCCTTGGAGGTTTTGCGACACCTGAGAAGAGCCTCAGCCTTGGAGGTTTTGCGACACCTGAGAAGAGCCTCAGCCTTGGAGGTTTTGCGACACCTGAGAAGAGCCTCAGCCTTGGAGGTTTTGCGACACCTGAGAAGAGCCTCAGCCTTGGAGGTTTGGGATGTCTCGGAGAACCTGACACTCGTTATGTCCTCCTAAACCCACGGCTTCTGGGACATGTGCGTGTTACGGATCTCTGCGCTGAACGTCACACAGAAGAAACGACAAAAATTAGCTGCTATTTTGGGCGATTTTATTGAGCTCTCGGAGTCTGCGTTACCGCATGGCTGCAATCTAACGCCTATTGTCCTGTTATAGATGTCATCCTTACGGAGAGCACCGTGCAGATCACGTCGCAGCTGTCTCGTTTCTAGCACGAGTCTCAAAATGACAGGCCGAAGCTTATCAATTGCTGCCACCTCATATCGGTCATCTGGGTGCCGCTTTAAAAAGATGCCGGGACCACCTCTGTGTTTCTGGAGCACCATGATCAAGCAGAAGCTTCCAGTCCAGACCCCCCATTATCCTCCTGTGTCTCGGGGGTCACTGTTGATCAGATCATAAGTGAAGGTAGTCTCTATGGAAGTTGAGGGGAACAAATGATACACCAAAGGGGTCCAAATAGCATTGAATTTCTCCATAGTGTTCTCTTGATGGGTGTGAGCTTCCCAAAGAACATGGCGTGGGACATCATCAGTGATGGAGTGTGGGGGTTCTCCAGGAGCGCAGGACCACTAGTTTTGCAGCCTTGAGTGTATGCTGGAGCAGTTTGGATCGGAGAATATCCCCCCAGTTTGCTCTTCACTAGTGGTCTTTCCGGAGTGTGGAGCCCATCATGGAGTGAATGTTGCGGTGTATTGTGGACCGATATTGGAATGTTGTTGTTATTGGGCATCCCCACCATGCGTGTGCAAATGTTTCTTCAATTTGGCAAATTGAGGGACTATTATTATTATTTGTATGTCCCCACACTCAGGTCGGTGGTCTGCTGTTGGTCACCTCTCTTATTCCGTTTCATTCTTCTGACATTTCTGTGTCTTGGGCTCTTTTTTTGTCTGGCAGGGATATCGCTGGATGTGGACGCTGACCGAGATGGAGTCGTAGAGAAGAATAATCCACATAAGGTAAAATGGGCTTCCGCAAGTCCGCGCATCATTTCAAAGTGACCTAACGATGTTCACACAGAACGGCTACATTGTAGTACATACACCGACTTGTCATAACACTATGACCACCCGCATACGTCTGGCAGGTCCTGACCCCTGCAGACCGGGAACATCCCACAAGAACTGCCGTTTTGGAGTTGCTCTGACTCAGTCGTCTAGTCATCACAATTTGACCCACGTCAAAGTTGCTCAAATCCTATTCACGTCACCTCCCAGTGCTCATAATGTTATGGCTGATCGGTGTATATCCGCAGTTTTGGGAACTGTCAGGATGAGACCCCGATACCAACGTTTAGGGATCGAGAACAAACCGATTTCAGCCGCAGTCTGTGAGTCGGTTCAAATCAGATAAGGTTCAGCTTACAAGTCATAAGAGCGCCAAAACCCCCTAAAGATTGTATAGATTTTATAGTCTCTGCAAATCAAGATTAAACGTTTATATCTCTGGCCAATAGTAACGAATGACTTCATGTGTATCCAATCATTTACGTAGCATTGCATCAGAGTTCCGGAACATTGCTGTATTTCCTGAGATAAATATGAAGTAATTAGTTGTTGGTCACTGTGATAAAATGGGTCATTGGGCCCAGTTTTGGGACTCTTCTGCTACAATTTCGCAGATTTTCCTGGCGCGAATTCCCACTCGGTACCAGTGATAGTTTATCAGGCCCAATGTCTGATTGCAGTATGGTGGTAAATTGTACGAATCCGCTTCTTTTTAGCAGGCCCGGCGCTACCGCAAGGCAAGTCAGGCGGCCGCCTGAGGGCGCTGCAGGGTGAGGGCGGAAAAAACAGGGCATTTTGACAAGTACTTGTCAAGATGCCCCCATGCTTAATGAAGTCATATATAACGTGCTGAGGGTCTGATGAAGTTCTCTGGTCTTGTCCTGGTTAGGCCTCGTGGACGTGGGGCCCTGACGGTCAGGGGGCCATCTTGCTGGTGAACTGCGACAAGGACAGCTTGGTCTCCCGCGTAGTGGATGGAGATGATAATCTCATGCTCTCCAAGTCGGGTAATTTAGCGGATCTCCTCTCTCCTGTTTCCCCCCGCATATCAGCGAGCACGCCCTGATCCTTTTTTGTGTCTGCAGATCTTCTGGATATGTCTAAAATGATCCTCAGGATCCACGGCCCTGAGAAACTGCCTACGGGATATCTGCTGATGCTTCATGTCTCTCCCACGGATGCTCGGAGCCTGGGAGTCTTCTATCTGCACAGTACGTTACGGCAAGCAATTCCGACAATGCTATTTCTTTCAGATATTTAAACTATTTACTAAGCTTGAACTATTATGTATTCTGACTTCTAGTCTAGCTATGACCACCTAGTGGCCATGGTGCATTGTGAATCTCCTTTTGCATAGCTGTTCGCGACTTACACGGTTTACAAACCGCCCCTTAAATGATGTAAGGAGCAAGTCATGTGACGCTATTTTATGCATGATGTCATTTAATGATCAGCAATATTATTTAAAGGAGAACTATGGGGTTAAGGCTTTTCCCCATAGTTCTCCTTAGGGTAACGGGAGGACACAAACTAGCGTCCTCCCGTCACCCTAGGCTCAGTATAAAGGGAGCTACAGCTCGCGGTATACTGAGACGCCGAGACGGTTACCGACATCACTGTCTGGATCCACCCAGCTGCATGAGTGACAGCTGGCTCTGCCTATCTAAAGGCTGTACCCTCCCCCATCCGTTCCTCCACTCAGTGCTGGAGGATCGGAGCGGGGAGGAGGGGAATCCCTGCAGGGAGCCATGAGTGACAGTCACCTCTCTCTCTGCAGGGACAGGATCGAGAAGTGAGCGAGCGACGGTATGTGTTCCCTCACCTCCCGATCTACTGAGCCGCTGCTCGCGGTATACTGAGGCGCTGAAGCGGAATGGTCAATAATGAGATGACCTCACAAAACCATGCAAAATGTTTTCTTAAAGGAGAAGTATGGGGTCAGGGTTTTTCCCCATAGTTCTCCTTAGGGTAACGGGAGGAAGCATGTGATTAAAATCAGCAGAAAGCCAGAAAACACAAGTGGGTCACCTGTCTTCCCGGTCACAATAATCTGAAATCGGCAGCTCTGCGTGAGTGGTCTGGACTCAGCTGTCCTCTCGTTAAGACACGCAAAGTGCGCTGCTGCTGACGACGACAAATTTTCAGCCTCTTGAAACGGCTTCTCCCCTAATACCGAGCCCTCTAAAACCCGATCCGCTTAAAGAGGCTGCAGAATGTTCATTAGTACGGCAGCGGACACCTGATATCGCTACAACAAGAGGCCGCCTGCCATGTAACAAGCCCTTGGCCGGGAATGTATATTAGCTGGCCCATTAGAGAGCTTTTGTGCCCTTCGCAAAATCCGGAGTAATGAACTATTAGTACATTGCGTATTACCCGCGAAAGCCCGAGCTTAGGGAAAGTACATTAAACTAAACAAGAGGTATCGCATCTCCGATTCCTGCCAGCTTGTGTGTGTTAACCGTTTGCCTCCTAGACAGAATATCTTATAAAGTCCCTGAGAGATGGAGAGATGTAAGAAGCTGTCTGGTGGATCAAATGAAATATCTGTAATGGGTGGACTGACCCTTTCATAGATGTCACAAAATGTAACCGGCCAACGTGAAATCTTCTCATTGTCTGCAGCCAAATAATAGTTTAATTATACATCTTCGTTTGCATCTTTTATACATATATATAAATATAATTGGCGAGGGATTTTAAAGCTTTGCAAAATTTAAAAACGTTATTAGAAACTCCATACGCTTTACAAATGCTGTAAACTGAATAATATTAGAAACCTCACTTTGAAAACTTCCCGACTGTGAGAGACTTTCCGACTGTGAGAGACCTTCCCGACTGTGAGAGACTTCCCGACTGTGAGAGACTTCCCGACTCCGAGAGACCTTCCCGACTGCGAGAGACTTCCCGACTGCGAGAGACCTTCCCGACTGCGAGAGACTTCCCGACTGCGAGAGACCTTCCCGACTGCGAGAGACTTCCCGACTGCGAGAGACTTCCCGACTGCGAGAGACCTTCCCGACTGTGAGAGACCTTCCCGACTGTGAGAGACCTTCCCGACTGTGAGAGACCTTCCCGACTGTGAGAGACCTTCCCGACTGTGAGAGACCTTCCCGACTGTGAGAGACCTTCCCGACTGTGAGAGACCTTCCCGACTGTGAGAGACCTTCCCGACTGTGAGAGACTTCCCGACTGTGAGAGACTTTCCGACTGCGAGCGACTTTCCGACTGCGAGCGACTTTCCGACTGCGAGCGACTTTCCGACTGCGAGCGACTTCCCGACTGCGAGCGACTTCCCGACTTTGAGCGACTTCCCGACTTTGAGAGACTTTGCGACTTTGAGAGACTTTGCGACTTTGAGAGACTCTGCGACTTTGAGAGACTCTGCGACTTTGAGAGACTTTGCGACTTTGAGAGACTTTGCGACTTTGAGAGACTTTGCGTCTTTGAGAGACTTTGCGACTTTGAGAGACTTTGCGACTTTGAGAGACTTTGCGACTTTGAGAGACTTTCCGACTTTGAGAGACTTTCCGACTTTGAGAGACTTTCCGACTTTGAGAGACTTTCCGACTTTGAGAGACTTTCCGACTTTGAGAGACTTTCCGACTTCGCAATTTTTTTACATGTAAATGTTAAAAACTTTGTACATTTTAGAAACTCTATAAACTTTATATAAAGTATGTAAACTTTGCACATTTTTATAAACTGAAAACTTTGTAATCTTTGCAAATTTTAGAGACTTCACAAATTTTAGAAACTTTTGTAAACTTAAAAAAAATGTTGTAAATGTTAAAAACTTTGTCGATTTTAGAAACTCTATAACGTCTGTAAACTTTAGAAACTGCACATTTTAGAAACTTTTAAAAACGTTGCAAATCTTAAAGATTTTCCCAATTTTAGAACTTTAGGAGGTTTGCAAACTTTGTAAATTTTATAAACTCTGTAAACTTGATAAAAGTCTGTAAACTTTGCACATTTTTATAAACTGAAAACTTTGTAATCTTTGCAAATTTTAGGGACTTTGCAATTTTAGAAAGCTCTGCAAATAAAACCATGAATTACTATTAGAAGGCAGAGCATTGATGGGATGAGCAGAGGCGTAACTACAGATCATGGGGCCCCATAGTAAAAGTTTGATGGGGCCCTCTGGCGACCCCTTTAAATTTAAACCAAGGACAGATAGTAGGAGAGATGTCTGCATAATCTCCTCCTGTACATCTGATATCAGTGCTTCTTGTTTGGAAATGTCATAGGGGGTACAGCAACTCCTGCAATCCTTAATGGGGCCCCCTTCCACCCCCAGGCCCCATAGCAGCTGCATGGGCTGCTATGGCTATTTGTTACGACACTGGGGATGAGGTCTGGTGGTGCAGCAGCGAGGTTTACGGTCGGTGTTGTCACATGTGTGTGCTCCACCCTGACGTCTGTGACTTGCTCCCTCTGCAGGTAAGGTGTACACACATGTCCTGGGTAGAAGGAAGCTATTCTACAAGACTCGTTACACAGGGACCAGGGAAATGGAGTTCTATGTGGAGGGTCTCCGCTTTCCGGATGAGGGCTTCAATGGTCTTGTGTCCATAAAGGCCAGCCTGCTGGAGACTCAAGTGGAGGTAGGAATGCGAGTTACAATACAAGACGGTCTTTTATCCATCACATTGTTGTCCTTCAGGATGTATATCCTCTATCCTCTCTATATCGATGGAGAAATGTATTGTCTGGTTGTATTGTGTGCTTTGGCTTAGATGTTTTGCTTTTATGTTCTAATCGGCCTTTTCTAGTATTGGTTTTGTGCTCCGTGCTTTCCTGTCCCCGTTCCTAATTTAGACCCCTCTCACCAGAGGGTTATGTCTGGTAAACGGATCTCGCCCTTCGCTCCGCACGGCTGTCAGGGCTTTAATTTCATGTCTGTTTAAGGACGGCTCTCTGTGCTAACAGTGTAATCAGCCTCCGTGCCGGGTGCCAGCTATGGTGGCGGGCGCTGTCACATCCCAGACTCCCTTGCTTACACAGAGTGTGGAGTGAACAGGAACATCACGCGTATAGTGTAAGTCAACACTCCCCCCCACCCTTCATCATGGCTTAGATGCTGAAAGTAAAGAGCAAGAATACTGGACAGCTGATAAAATAAAGCATAGAGTTTAATTCATTCTAGTCACTGGTCAGGGTGCCTGATGAAGGGGGAATGCTGAGCCCCTGAAATGCATTAAAGGAGAACTATGAGGCAAGTGATTTCACTCCCCTCATACTTCTAGCCGACCTGTGACCATGAGACTGTCACAGGTCGGCTCAGTAGATCGGGAGGTGAGCGAACACATACCGACGCTCGCTCACTTCTTGATCTATCCCTGCAGAGAGCCGAGACAGGGGAGGGACTGGATTCCCCGCTCTGATCCTCCAGCGCTGACTGGTGGAACGGACGGGGGAGGGGGCGGGTACAGCTGGCTCTGCCTCTGGATAGGCGGAGCCAGCTGTCACTCATGCAGCTGGGCGGATCCAGACATAATTGTCGGGATCCGTTCCGGCTGCGGCGTCTCAGTATACTAAGCTTTGGGTGACGGGAGGACGCTAGTTTGTGTCCTCCCGTTAGGAGGACTATGGGGAAAAGACTTAACCTCATAGTTCTCTAACTTTTACTTGTGGCTTCCCGTCTCATGCTCTTCTTTCGTCTACTTCAACTTCCGCTACAATCTGAGTCTTATTCTTCCAGTTTTCAGTTTACTGCTCCACCAACACACCTATTGCTTACACAGAAGACATGAGAATTGGGAGGATTTTTTAAAGGGGGGCTCCACATTGAATTGGTATTTTAGGGTGGTTTCACAAATGAATATAGCTGAAAGTTATTAAATTAAATTGTATCTAAAGCCAAAACGTTTAATTTTAAATGAAGTGGTGAGGGATTAGACCCTTGAGATTGCTTTCTGTGTCTCTTCTTGGAAGAGAGATTGTAAATGTTAAAAACTTTGTCGATTTTAGAAACTCTATAACGTCTGTAAACTTTAGAAACTGCACATTTTAGAAACTTTTAAAAACGTTGCAAATCTTAAAGATTTTCCCAATTTTAGAACTTTAGGAGGTTTGCAAACTTTGTAAATTTTATAAACTCTGTAAACTTGATAAAAGTCTGTAAACTTTGCACATTTTTATAAACTGAAAACTTTGTAATCTTTGCAAATTTTAGGGACTTTGCAATTTTAGAAAGCTCTGCAAATAAAACCATGAATTACTATTAGAAGGCAGAGCATTGATGGGATGAGCAGAGGCGTAACTACAGATCATGGGGCCCCATAGTAAAAGTTTGATGGGGCCCTCTGGCGACCCCTTTAAATTTAAACCAAGGACAGATAGTAGGAGAGATGTCTGCATAATCTCCTCCTGTACATCTGATATCAGTGCTTCTTGTTTGGAAATGTCATAGGGGGTACAGCAACTCCTGCAATCCTTAATGGGGCCCCCTTCCACCCCCAGGCCCCATAGCAGCTGCATGGGCTGCTATGGCTATTTGTTACGACACTGGGGATGAGGTCTGGTGGTGCAGCAGCGAGGTTTACGGTCGGTGTTGTCACATGTGTGTGCTCCACCCTGACGTCTGTGACTTGCTCCCTCTGCAGGTAAGGTGTACACACATGTCCTGGGTAGAAGGAAGCTATTCTACAAGACTCGTTACACAGGGACCAGGGAAATGGAGTTCTATGTGGAGGGTCTCCGCTTTCCGGATGAGGGCTTCAATGGTCTTGTGTCCATAAAGGCCAGCCTGCTGGAGACTCAAGTGGAGGTAGGAATGCGAGTTACAATACAAGACGGTCTTTTATCCATCACATTGTTGTCCTTCAGGATGTATATCCTCTATCCTCTCTATATCGATGGAGAAATGTATTGTCTGGTTGTATTGTGTGCTTTGGCTTAGATGTTTTGCTTTTATGTTCTAATCGGCCTTTTCTAGTATTGGTTTTGTGCTCCGTGCTTTCCTGTCCCCGTTCCTAATTTAGACCCCTCTCACCAGAGGGTTATGTCTGGTAAACGGATCTCGCCCTTCGCTCCGCACGGCTGTCAGGGCTTTAATTTCATGTCTGTTTAAGGACGGCTCTCTGTGCTAACAGTGTAATCAGCCTCCGTGCCGGGTGCCAGCTATGGTGGCGGGCGCTGTCACATCCCAGACTCCCTTGCTTACACAGAGTGTGGAGTGAACAGGAACATCACGCGTATAGTGTAAGTCAACACTCCCCCCCACCCTTCATCATGGCTTAGATGCTGAAAGTAAAGAGCAAGAATACTGGACAGCTGATAAAATAAAGCATAGAGTTTAATTCATTCTAGTCACTGGTCAGGGTGCCTGATGAAGGGGGAATGCTGAGCCCCTGAAATGCATTAAAGGAGAACTATGAGGCAAGTGATTTCACTCCCCTCATACTTCTAGCCGACCTGTGACCATGAGACTGTCACAGGTCGGCTCAGTAGATCGGGAGGTGAGCGAACACATACCGACGCTCGCTCACTTCTTGATCTATCCCTGCAGAGAGCCGAGACAGGGGAGGGACTGGATTCCCCGCTCTGATCCTCCAGCGCTGACTGGTGGAACGGACGGGGGAGGGGGCGGGTACAGCTGGCTCTGCCTCTGGATAGGCGGAGCCAGCTGTCACTCATGCAGCTGGGCGGATCCAGACATAATTGTCGGGATCCGTTCCGGCTGCGGCGTCTCAGTATACTAAGCTTTGGGTGACGGGAGGACGCTAGTTTGTGTCCTCCCGTTAGGAGGACTATGGGGAAAAGACTTAACCTCATAGTTCTCTAACTTTTACTTGTGGCTTCCCGTCTCATGCTCTTCTTTCGTCTACTTCAACTTCCGCTACAATCTGAGTCTTATTCTTCCAGTTTTCAGTTTACTGCTCCACCAACACACCTATTGCTTACACAGAAGACATGAGAATTGGGAGGATTTTTTAAAGGGGGGCTCCACATTGAATTGGTATTTTAGGGTGGTTTCACAAATGAATATAGCTGAAAGTTATTAAATTAAATTGTATCTAAAGCCAAAACGTTTAATTTTAAATGAAGTGGTGAGGGATTAGACCCTTGAGATTGCTTTCTGTGTCTCTTCTTGGAAGAGAGCTAGGGGTGATGCGGGGGACACACAGGTGGTGTAAGAGAGTGCAGGGGGGGACACGAGGTGTAAGAGAGTGCAGGGGGGGGGACACGGGGTGCAGGGGAGTGCGAGGCCCCGAAAGTACTTGCAATTGACAACTTTTGTCATTAAAATGGACATTTGCTGAACAAAAAACGCTTGGGGTGCTGGTGACATTCCTCATACCTACATACTATTCACGGCGCCAACCGTGGTCACTGCAAACACCCACCTGTATTTATTACAGACATCCGGTAAGGAGTGCAGCGAGATACATAAGACTTTTTTTTTCTTCTTGGAAGATCCACCCCTCTTGATGTGTCTTAGGTCAAAATTGTCACAGGGACTAAAATTGCGGTAAAATCTAAAAGTTCTCACCAGAACAGGAAGTTAAATTGTCCAATGAGGACACCTGTTACATTGAACACTGTCTAAGGGACCGTTTCCTTCACTTCCTGTTTCATCTCTAGGACAGGAAGTGAAGGGGAATAGTCTCTCTCTCTCTCTCTCTCTCTCTCTCTCTCAAGAAAAGAGTTGACATTGATTTTAACCATTTCCTACTCAATCCAAAATGGGGAAAATAGGTTTTGGCTTTAAATTTCCTTTTAAAGGAGAACTATGGGGTCAGGGCTTTTCCTCATAGTTCTCCTCAGGGTAACGGGAGGACACAAACTAGCGTCCTCCCGTCACCCTAAGCTCAGTATATAGGGAGCTACAGCTCGCGGTATACTGAGACGCAGCAGCCGGAGCGAATCCCCACATCGATGTCGAGATCCGCCCAGCTGCGTGAGTGACAGCTGGCTCTGCCTATCTAGAGGCAGAGCCAGCTGTACCCGCCCCCTCCCCCGTCCGTTCCGCCAGTCAGCGCTGGCGGATCGGAGCGGGGAGGGGGGAATCCAGCCCCTCCCCTGTCACGGCAGAGAGCCGTGACAGGATCGAGAGGTGAGCGAACGCCGGTATCTGTTCGCTCACCTCCCGATCTACTGAGCCGACTATGTGGAAAGCACCCCCCTCATAGTTCTCCTTTTAAGTGATACTTTTAATTGGCTGACTTGAGTTTTTACAAGATCCAAGCTTTGACTATACATTGGCTTACTTCATTGGGTGTTCTACAATACTGGATTGGAAAAACAGATATTCCTTTACTCGGAACGAAAACGCGATTTGGTAAAATACAACTGCTTTCTCCTAAATCACACAGGAGAGGAATTTTCAGCTCTAGGGTCGATTCAGATTTAGCCGGTCTGTTTTGATACATTGAGTCTGCCCATTCATTGAGAATGAGCTCAATTTCCTGTTTTTGTATGAAATTAGTTGCATGTGTATTATTGGGGGGGGAGAGGGGGGGGGTTACAGGTAAAGATTATCTCACTTTGTCATTCTATTGTCTGCCAGGGCATTCCGGAAACTCCAATATTCACAGACTCCGTGACGTTCCGGATCTCTCCCCTCATAATCACGCCCAGCACCCTGGCGCCCATTGAGGTTTACGTCTGCAGGTAATGTGGATGGCAGGGGAACTTGTCTGCTTGACGAGCTGGTGGCTGAAAAGTATCTGCTACCGGTTTTTGGTTCTCAGTTCCTATAACCCGGGTAGTGTTTTGTCTGGAATAGAATAAGAAGGTCGTGGCTACAGGTGAGCCTAAAAATAGAACTAGTACTAGTGACAATTCACCAAATGCACTGTAATCCTGTTCATGGAGATCAGATATGCCAATTGGTATTTTAACAAAAACGGCACGCCCCTCCTCTGAATAGCTCCAGCCCAAGGAGATTGTATTATAGCAAGAGGGATGCCAGGTTGATGCAAGTCCCTATGCTCTTCAGCTTCTACTAAAAGTCATGGTCTCAGAGGACCCAAACCCTGTGGTCTTGGAGAACCCAAACCTCATCTTGGAGCACCCAAACCCTTTGTTCTTGGAGAACCCAAACCTCGTCATCTTGGGGGGCCCAAACCTCATAGGCCTGGGATACCCAAAGCTCATCTTGGAGCACCCAAACCCTTTGGTCTTGGAGAACCCAAACCTCATCTTGGAGAACCCAAACCTCATCTTGGGGGACCCAAACCCTTTGGTCTTGGAGAACACAAACCCTTTAGTCTTGGAGAACCCAAACCCTTTAGTCTAGGAGAACCCAAACCTCATCTTGGGGGACCCAAACCCTTTGGTCTTGGAGAACCCAATCCCTTTGGTCTTGGAGAACCCAAATCTCATCTTGGAGGACCCAAACCCTTTGGTCTTGGAGAACCCAAAGCCTCATAGGCCTGGGATACCCAAAGCCCATGGGCCTGGAGGACCCAAACCAAGACCTGGGGGGCACAAACCTCACGGACCTGAAGAACATATGGGAACATGAGAAATGTATGCTCCGCTTTCTTTCTACTCTCTGCCCCAGTGAACTGGAATAGGGGTCCTTTGTCTTGGCTTACACTGAAGGGGCACCCAGGCTGATATCCTCATGGCAAGGAATCTGTTTAATTTTGGCTCTCTATGTCAATACTCCAGGTGCTTCCAGCTCAATTCTTTAAAATGAATTAACAAATGACAGGGGATCAGCTGAAATGTGTCAATGTCTGCTATCTGCCGATCTTGAACTAGAAATCTCAACTGGCTCATATGTTGTCACAGCCTAAATTCACTGTTTGTTTGATTCCCTTTCATCTATGGTTACTTCCCTCACTACCCCCACCCCCAACTGTTGGCCCTTCTCCTTCCCCACAATGGCACTGCAGTTTCTTGTATTATGAATCAGTTTAGTTCTTGGTTGATGCACGGAACAGACTTTGAGTGGATAAAAACATTTTCAGGTCCTGAGGTATTCTGCCCTCATATATATTCTGTTCTCCTCCAACAGTGTTAAAGAAAATTATCTCTTCCTGAAGGCAATCAACAGACTAGTAAACGAAGCCAAGCTCAAAGTCCAGATCTGCTTTGAGTATGTCAACCGCGGCGATCGCTGGATGCAGGTCGGTGCAATAAGGGTTTTCACATAAGCAAATATCCACCATGGCAGTTTCTTTGTAATATCCCCCAGCATTGCCAAGCTGTGTCATTGCAGACTACCCGATATCTTACCTACCTCACTGATGCCACCTTGAGCTCTGCTTCTACTACAAACCCAACTAAATCCCTCCCCCTCTTCCACCCAACTTTTTACTGAGCAAACACTCCCACTGCAAGCCTGATTTCAGGTTTGATGTCATTTTAAGAGTTTATATGTCCACATTATCTTCGGTTTCATAAAGATCCCCAGAAGTTTCTTTAAACTTTTGATCATATGACTACGTTTCAGTTCTTTTTATTTTTTATTATCTTTACACCCATTATATTTATGGTCTGACAGAATCACGGTGGTGGAAAGAATCGTCATATCAGAATTGCTCATCTCTGTATGTTTCCATGCAGGACGAGATGGAGTTTGGATACATCCAGGCGCCGCATCAAAGTTTTCCTGTCGTGTTGGATTCACCAAGAGACAGAGGACTAAAAGATTTTCCCATACGGCAACTGCTGGTAAGTGTAACCATCACAGACTCCTCTCCGTTCACTCCAAACCAGTGATATCACTGAGAATGCAACCTATCCCTTCACTAGAGACCGGTGACATCACTGAGAATACAGCCTATCCATTCACTAGGGACCGGTGACATCACTGAGAATGCAGCCTATCCGTTCACTAGGGACCGGTGACCTCACTGAGAATACAGCCCATCCATTGAGTAGAGACCGGTGACATCACTAGAGAGCGGTAACATCACTGAGAATGCAGCCTATCCGTTCACTAGGGACCGGTGACCTCACTGAGAATACAGCCTATCCATTCACTAGAGAGCGGTGACATCACTGAGAGCGCAGCCTATCCATTCACTAGAGAGCGGTGACATCACTGAGAGCGCAGCCTATCCATTCACTAGAGAGCGGTGACATCACTGAGAGCGCAGCCTATCCATTCACTAGAGAGCGGTGACATCACTGAGAGCGCAGCCTATCCATTCACTAGAGAGCGGTGACATCACTGAGAGCGCAGCCTATCCATTCACTAGAGAGCGGTGACATCACTGAGAGCGCAGCCTATCCATTCACTAGAGAGCGGTGACATCACTGAGAGCGCAGCCTATCCATTCACTAGAGAGCGGTGACATCACTGAGAGCGCAGCCTATCCATTCACTAGAGAGCGGTGACATCACTGAGAGCGCAGCCTATCCATTCACTAGAGAGCGGTGACATCACTGAGAGCGCAGCCTATCCATTCACTAGAGAGCGGTGACATCACTGAGAGCGCAGCCTATCCATTCACTAGAGAGCGGTGACATCACTGAGAGCGCAGCCTATCCATTCACTAGAGAGCGGTGACATCACTGAGAGCGCAGCCTATCCATTCACTAGAGAGCGGTGACATCACTGAGAGCGCAGCCTATCCATTCACTAGAGAGCGGTGACATCACTGAGAGCGCAGCCTATCCATTCACTAGAGAGCGGTGACATCACTGAGAGCGCAGCCTATCCATTCACTAGAGAGCGGTGACATCACTGAGAGCGCAGCCTATCCATTCACTAGAGAGCGGTGACATCACTGAGAGCGCAGCCTATCCATTCACTAGAGAGCGGTGACATCACTGAGAGCGCAGCCTATCCATTCACTAGAGAGCGGTGACATCACTGAGAGCGCAGCCTATCCATTCACTAGAGAGCGGTGACATCACTGAGAGCGCAGCCTATCCATTCACTAGAGAGCGGTGACATCACTGAGAATGCAGCCTATCCCTTTACTAGAGACCGGTGACATCCCTGATAATGCAGCCTATCCCTTTACTAGAGACCGGTGACATCACTGAGAATGCAGCCTATCCATTCACTAGGGACCGGTGACATCACTGAGAATGCAGCCTATCCATTCACTAGGGACCGGTGACATCACTGAGAATGCAGCCTATCCCTTCACTAGGGACCGGTGACATCACTGAGAATGCAGCCTATCCCTTCACTAGGGACCGGTGACATCACTGAGAATGCAGCCTATCCCTTCACTAGGGACCGGTGACATCACTGAGAATGCAGCCTATCCCTTCACTAGGGACCGGTGACATCACTGAGAATGCAGCCTATCCCTTCACTAGGGACCGGTGACATCACTGAGAATGCAGCCTATCCCTTCACTAGGGACCGGTGACATCACTGAGAATGCAGCCTATCCCTTCACTAGGGACCGGTGACATCACTGAGAATGCAGCCTATCCCTTCACTAGGGACCGGTGACATCACTGAGAATGCAGCCTATCCCTTCACTAGGGACCGGTGACATCACTGAGAATGCAGCCTATCCCTTCACTAGGGACCGGTGACATCACTGAGAATGCAGCCTATCCCTTCACTAGGGACCGGTGACATCACTGAGAATGCAGCCTATCCCTTCACTAGGGACCGGTGACATCACTGAGAATGCAGCCTATCCCTTCACTAGGGACCGGTGACATCACTGAGAATGCAGCCTATCCCTTCACTAGGGACCGGTGACATCACTGAGAATGCAGCCTATCCCTTCACTAGGGACCGGTGACATCACTGAGAATGCAGCCTATCCCTTCACTAGGGACCGGTGACATCACTGAGAATGCAGCCTATCCCTTCACTAGGGACCGGTGACATCACTGAGAATGCAGCCTATCCCTTCACTAGGGACCGGTGACATCACTGAGAATGCAGCCTATCCCTTCACTAGGGACCGGTGACATCACTGAGAATGCAGCCTATCCCTTCACTAGGGACCGGTGACATCACTGAGAATGCAGCCTATCCCTTCACTAGGGACCGGTGACATCACTGAGAATGCAGCCTATCCCTTCACTAGGGACCGGTGACATCACTGAGAATGCAGCCTATCCCTTCACTAGGGACCGGTGACATCACTGAGAATGCAGCCTATCCCTTCACTAGGGACCGGTGACATCACTGAGAATGCAGCCTATCCCTTCACTAGGGACCGGTGACATCACTGAGAATGCAGCCTATCCCTTCACTAGGGACCGGTGACATCACTGAGAATGCAGCCTATCCCTTCACTAGGGACCGGTGACATCACTGAGAATGCAGCCTATCCCTTCACTAGGGACCGGTGACATCACTGAGAATGCAGCCTATCCCTTCACTAGGGACCGGTGACATCACTGAGAATGCAGCCTATCCCTTCACTAGAGACCGGTGACATCACTGAGAATGCAGCCCACCCATTGAGTAGAGATGGAATAATTCTGTCTTCCATGTGACGATATTCCCGATGCTGCCGGGACGCGGTGTCCCCAGCACAGATTTCTCACTATGTATCTGGATGGAGATAATCTGTTTCCCATCTCCGTTGTCACCGTATCGCTCCTCGCTCTCTGGAATGAGTCCCAGGTTTCCGCACGCTATCGTTTATCGTTCCTGTACGGTATCACTTTGTCATCATTCCTGTGCCGCCCCCCCGGCCGCCATGTCTGAGGGTCACCGGCACTGTCTCCCTGGCAGATCATCTCTGTGACGGGCAGCTGTGCTAATTGAGCGAGGTGTAAATTGGATTAGGACTTGCTGATCCGCCTATTTCTATATAGAAGCGTGTGTGAATGCAGCCGGTGAAAGTGAATCTCTCATCGCAGATCTACTTGGAGTATGTGGAGACAGGGCGACATTTCTTGCTTTTCATGAACCCTGAAGACTGTGTTGCGGGGGGGGGCAGAGGGGAGGGGCTAAGCGGCCATTGCACACCTTTTAGATTTATGATACACACATAACAGGTAACACATTTCATGAAAGGGATATTCAACCTTATTAATATAAAGCGCCCACAATGACGAAGATAACAATGCGATTCATTATTTGCATTGGAGTATTGCAACCGCGGTCAGTGGATTGCACCCGCTCCCCTATCCCCAGGTCCGCATGGAGGTATGACCTTCGGTTATGGGACTGGAGGAGGCCGTCTATGGGCTACACCTGCGGTGACACCACCACGCTTGCACCCCATTGAGATCTAGAGTTCCTCCGCTGTGGTGGGACTTGTAGTCTCTCCATTCATAAATCCTGTCAATGGATGACATAGGAAGAGGAACTCTGGTAACTGAGGGGCTGGTTTGAGGGGTCAGAGGCTGGGGAATGTTACCATGTTTCATGTTGTACCCTCAAAGGTGGAATTGGCCTTTTAAAGCTGAACTCTAAGCTCAGTTACGAGCATGCTGATTGGAGAGAGCAGAGTGACGGTGAGATGAGTTATCAGTCTGCTGGGGGAGGGACAAGACCTGTAAGAGTTACTTAAAGGAGAACTATGGGGTTAGGGCTTTTCCTCATAGTTCTCCTTAGGGTAACGGGAGGACACAAGCTAGCGTCCTCCCGTCACCCAAAGCTCAGTATATAGGGAGCTACAGCTCGCGGTATACTGAGAACGCCGCAGCCGGAACGGATCCCGACAATTCTGTCTGGATCCACCCAGCTGCGTGATTGACAGCTGGCTCCGCCTATCTAGAGGCAGAGCCAAATTTGCCCGCCCCGTCCCCCGTCCGTTCCGCCAGTCAGCGCTGGAGGATCGGAGGGGGGTAATCCCTGCAGGGAGCCGTGAGTGACAGTCACGGCTCCCTGCAGGGACATGATCGAGAAGTGAGCGAGCGACGGTATGTGTTCGCTCACTTCCCGATCTATTGAGCCGACCTGTGACAGTTTCATTGTCACACGTCGGCTCCAACTATGAGGATGAGTGATTTTTGCACTCGCCTCATAGTTCTCCTTTTTAAAGCTGAACTCTAAGCTCAGGAGCATGCTGATAAAAGGAGAGAGCAGAGTGACAGTGAGATGAGTTATCAGTCTGCTGGGGGAGGGACAAGACTGGTAAGAGTTGCTTAACTGCAGCAGGAAAAAATCATGTCAACCTTCCTGCCAGACTGGGCTGTGCTTAGTGACAGAGCTGTGTACATCTCAGGATTGGATGGAAAGAAATACAACTCCTTTAGCTCCCTTATATTTAATGTGTGTGTTGAGCTGCTTTTCCCCGGAGTTCAGCTTTAAAGTGAGCATTCCGATAAGTTACACCAAACCGGGCGCTATGGGTACGTTAACGTCTGTGTGATGGCGCGTCCCTTTAAGCGGCCGGCCTGTCAGGTGTAAACGTCTCTTTCGCGGCTGCCATGTGTCGCCCGGGTAATAATGTGCCGCCTTCAGTAGCTGTGAATTTCCTGGGCAGGTTTCCCGGGCATTTTAGAGGTTGTCTTACGATTTTAATGGAGGACGCGGGTCGATTAATCACAATCTGTTATAGAAAGTCATCTCCGGTGCGCAGCCAAGAGGCAACGCATTCCGGCACGCCAAAGTACAGCGCAGCTTAGCAGCTGCCACACCGGTCCCTGTAATCAGGGCGTGATGGATCTTTCTGCTCCTATTCCCAGACCTCGTCTCCTTTTACCCCCAAAGTGCTTTGATACCTCCCCCCCCCCCCCCCCCCCTCCGTCCTGCGTGAGGGGGTCGCTGTGCTGAATATCCGCGCTTCTTGCTCCCGGCGTCACCTCTCCAGATGGGGGGCAACTTTTTGGGTGCAGTTTGAGGATGATATGAAAGTCACCTGTAGTCTGTGTATACTTTTCTTTTTAGATGTAGGTGGTCAGGGCCGTATTTACTCCCCAAAGCCAGGTACCTCAATGTGCCCCCCTCCCCACCAATCCGCCACCCTCCAATGGAGAATGGCAACCAGATAGCGGCAGGGTTGGTTTTAATTTAATTTTTTCTTTTATTATTTTTTTTTACTTTTTTTATATTTTTTAAATTTTTTATTTGTAATATTTTTCTTTTTTTAATTTTT